TATATATATATATATATATATATATATATATATATATATATAAAATAAATAACAAGAAAAAAAACACAATTAAAGATATAGTTTAAAAAATGAATAATAAATAAAGAATCGGAAAACTCGAGTTGGACCAGGATGCCACCGAGAAACCGCTCAAGCTAAAATAGAATGATTTGGATGATTATAACGTTAATATTTAAATGTATATTTTCTTAATATTTTTTTGAAAATATTCCATCGATGAGATCTCAGCCTCTAAAAAAACACAATTGTAAAATATTTTATTATCAAATTTTTCAAACTGCTATCTTTTCTTTGCTTTTAGGTGTCCACGGCGTTTGCAGTAATCAACCGAACATACTTTGACTTTTGCGATCATTTTAAATAAGCAATAATTTTAAATTTAATAATATAACAATAAAACTGCTAAAGAACAATCATTAAAACTACAATTAATAATAGCGCTTTTTTAGGGAATGAATGCCTCCATTATCAACATATTTTATAAGTTTGTCTAATAGTTTACATTAAGTTTAAATTTGTCAATTTCAAATCAACGAATAAAATTTTATTTTAAAGAATTAAAAATTTGCCTGACAAAATGTCCGATGACTTTGTAAATTGATCGGACAATCTGAGGTTTTAGCCGGACAATGTCCGATGTCCGACTGTTAAATTAAGCCCTGTATATATATATATATATATATATATATATATATATATATATATATATATATATATATATATATATATATATATATATATATATATAGGGTTCAACTCGTTTCTCCGCGCAGTGGCCTTGTTCATCAAGGTTCATGTTTCGGAGTTATAGAGTTGAGGAAGGGTTATAACCACAAATAAGTAGCCTCGTCGTCTGTAGTGGCCTTCTTGGCCTTGAGGAGCTGAATTAAATTAAAAAAGTATATATATATATATATATATAAATATATATATATATATATATATATATATATATATATATATATATATATATATATATATATATATATAATTTTGTCACTTCTTAGATAAAAGGTTTAAATACATATTTTAATGAATCTCTTTAGATTTTGTTTCAATTGTTATAATTAGCAAAAAGTTATCACAAGTTATCAAAAAGTATATGTATATATATGTGTGTGTATATATATATATAAACTGCGTGACGCATAAGCACCACGCGATTTTTGACGTCATTAAATTCTTTTTATTTGCTTTTCATATTTATCGACATTAACTGCACCAATTTGCTTAAATTACCACAAAACAACTTTAAATCATTAATGTAGAAATGTTATTATTTAAAAATGTTTTGGAGAGCTTCTTTTTTTAAAATGTAAAAACATTGGTTTATTTTCTCGACGTTTGACGCGTTTTGTCTACTAAACGAATAAAAAAAATTATAATTAAACATTTAAAAAAGATTATAAAATATGCTAATATTTGATTTTCTCAAATATGTAATTTAAAGTTTTTCAAATAATTATTTTTTCTTTTTAAAAAGTCAGCGATTAATAAACTGGAAATTTTAATATTGTACGATTAAAAACTGTGCAATAGCTAATATTTTTACTAGCGATTTTATATAATATTTTTTTTATTTATTTTCATAAAGCAGTTAATAAGCACAATCACTCATATTACTAAAAAACTTTAACAAACGTTTTGAATAGACTTTTAATGTTTACAAAGAATTTTATTTTTGATAAAATAAAATAAAATGTTAGAATAAAAATCTTATAGGTATAAAAAAGATAATTTAGCGAAAAAATTATTTTTAAAAATTATTATTAAAAATTATTCGAAAAACTATTGACGTTCTATTTTTCAGCAGCTGTTCTTGAGCACGCTTCGTTGAGTTTCGGTAACTTTTAACAAAAAAGCGATTGTTATTATTTAAGTAATTTTTTTCGAGTTACTTTCTACAAAAATTTTAATAGCTGTACTTTTTTATTGAATCAAGTAGAATATGTTTTAACATTATTCCTTTTATTTTTTTTTATTTGCGCTTACCAATTTTTAAAATGTTTCCTCGAAATTACTCTTAAATATTTTAAGAGTAAATACGTCTAACAGCTAATAAATATTTTTAAATCTATGGAATAATTTTAAAACCTAACAAACCCCCATAAAATAATTATTTAAGTTAAAAATCTACAACTAAAAGAAAGTATTTTAGTTCAATTTTATCGACAACTTTGCTATTGCCGAATAATTTTATTAAAATGTTAGCTTAAAAAAATTTAAACTTTTTTTTTAATCTGAATTTTTTCTACTTGTAAATAATAAGCATATTTAATTTTTATTTAATTCAAACTTTTATATCAACTGCGTGCGGTTTTTAAAACACTTTATTAAAAGTTAAAATAATTGTAAATTACTTGTAATAAATAATTGTAAATTACTTGTGTAAATTACTTCATTAAAATTTCGCTCAAAAACATATTTAAATATACTCAAACAAAAAAATTTTTGCTCGACGCAAATAGCTATACGCAAAACCGCTCTTGGACGACGTAAAAATTCACATC